GTTATTTTCTGAACAATTTTCTTACAAGTGTTTTTGATTCTAATACTAGTAAAAATTCAGCGGAAAATTAAATGAAAAAACAAGTAATCATTTTTGTTGGAATAAAAATATATATTTTCACCGACATTACGGTCAATGAATCTTCATAACTCATCCATACATGTGTTACATGGTAATATTCTCAACTACACAGCGAATTTAGTTAATTAACTGACATTATTTGATGCTTTCTGTCAACATTTTTCATCTCAATCAGGCTTTTCTTACGCACTGGAGTAGTTGTTCAGTTGTTGTTTATTTACTTACTAGTTTTTGAAGCAAGAGCACTAGAAAGTACGCCCATAAGCCTCGCATTCCATCGATAATCCATGCTTGAATAACTCTATAAATACGCTATCCGAGGTTGCATCGTCTCCATTATCAGTGTTGAAGGCACCAGTGATGAAGTATAGCTCTCATCGTGAATGCTATAGGAATTGCAGTCAGGATTCAGCAAATGCATTATTTCCAAATCTATCGAACCAATAACTATAATCAGGAAATTCGGCACACAGCAACAATAAATATTAGAAGTCGTAACAGTACTATGCCTGCCAGACTCAGGAAGCCGAACAATCTGCAACATTACTTATTTTCAGAAGAAAAAAAAACGGTATAAATCGTTTCACCCCTTGAATTCCATGTGACACAATTCGGGGGCATAACTGTATCTATGTATCTCTATATTTATAAATATATATTATTCAAATTTCCCGAGACAAGTTTTACAATAACGTTCGCGAGTCATATTCACAGGGCTTACTGTACATTGATGCAGAAGCAAAACCCGCGTAGTTTCCTGAAGTAGGAAATGGTTTGGTAGGTAATTAGATCGCCTGATTTTCGCAATGTCGTTAGCAGGCTTAAAATACTAGTGGTTAGAACAGAACGTTGAACGTGCCTACGTTGATGCTGAGCCATAAAGATTCAGTTTATGCTAAACTTAAGGGATGTTTTGTAAAAAGCAAAAAAAAAAAAAACACTGCCGCCATCGCACAAAAAATTAGTAATTATCCTGTTGGAGTTAGGAATGCAAATTCAAATTTTCAGATCATTTCTAATCCTAACCCAAACTGGGCAATGACTAATCTTTTAATATTAAAACGTGACTGGGTTGTTTTTAAACCGAAGGCGTTTTTTCGAAAATATTTAACCACGCCCATTAATGCCTTATCAGGCAGCTGTAGACGTTGTTTATGATTTTCACTCAAGACGGAGATGTACATTTTGTTATTGATCATGAAATTCCTAATTCCTAACTAATTTGACAATTTTGTTGGAAAACTTGGATAATAATCAAACAACTGATTAGAAATAAAACTTTGAAATAATGTCATATACTTTTATTTTAAAGCAGTGTTTCTCAGCCTTTGGGTCGCGACCCAAAACAGGGTCGACTGAAAATTTACTTGGGTCGATTTGCTTGGGTCGATTTTCACTAAAAACTTGAAAGTTACTAATTTTATTTTATAGTAAATTTCATTGTTTATTTTATATTGTTTATTTGGTATTGAAGTGTTGCTCAATAGAAACTGCATGTGTCGGGAGTATCTTTACGTCAAAACATGGCAGCATTTATTTCGTTAAGTTAAGCCACGCGTCGATTTCAAAAACTCGCTAACGGCACACACGCGCAGTTTTTTCATTTCAAAGTAATTTCTGAAGAAATAAACTTTAAATAAAATTGATTTAAATTAGTCATTAAATTTTGGTCATAAAAGTACTACACGTTTAGTTAGTATTTGAGCATATCCTTGGGTCGTAAGATTTTACATTTTTATCATTTTTTTTTCAAAATTTGGGTTGCTTGAAAACAAGGTTGGGAACCACTGTTTTAAAGGATGTCAGTTAGAGCTTATGCAGATCTTTCATGACTAGTCATTCAAAAAAAAGAGATTACTCGGGGGTAAAAACGCGTGTTATGCAACGAATAAAAAACCGTCTCTAAATATTACCTGAAAAATATGATATCGAATTGAAAAAATGCTGAAATGGATGACATAAGCAAAATTCCATGGAAACAATTACGTTAGTCATATCAGAAAATTATCAATTATTTGATCTATCACGATGCTGAAGCATCTATTCGTTCCTTAAAATTTTTATTTTTTGGAATAAAATTTTCACCACATTTCCGTTACAACTAGATTTATCAGTTCAGGCAAGTTTTACTTGTACATGCATGACATAAAGAAAGAAATATTTGGTGGAATTTCTTCGTCTGTGACCCACCTGTGGGTTTTTAATATATATTGAATATTATAAGTTTTATTGCTAGATTTAATGACCAAAAAATGCAACTAAATTTATTAAGAAAATCCACTCAAATTCAGTTTCCGCTTATTATACAATCTCAATGTCACAATGACAGTGTAAAAATGTGGTAAAAAATTCGTGAAACCAACAAAGTCATGAATATTTTATCTCGTGTTATGTCGTATTTCAGAAAATATAGATCAAGTGCCTCTGGCAATATTAAAGAGCACTCAAACACTAATTTAGTGACGGACTTCAAAATACATGTTTTCATATATTTTTAGTGTTTGCTATGTACTTGCTATAAATGTTGTTTACGATTTGAAATTCAATTTCGTAACATTTAAAAAAATCCTATTTGTATCCTCATATATATATATAAATTCATAACGATTGATCCCAACTTATATTAAATTTTTTCGTTGGTTCACTCGGTTGAGGAATCTGAGTATGCGATATTGCATCGAGGGAATACTTCTTATTATACAAGATAGCCAAAATTGTGTAGATTCACATTCAATTTGATTTTTATCAAATTTTAGAGAAATAAGAAAAACGATTCAAATTAGGATTAGTTAGGAAGTTTAGATCTATTAAACATATGTATGGCTAATGTAAAACCATTTCCACAACCAAAAAGTTTGCAATTTGAAGTATTGCTAACGCTACGGAAACTAGTATAGTGTATGTGCCTAGGACGTGACAATCTAGAGATATGGAAGTGTTCGTAATTAGTCTCACTTTGTGATTTACGACAAGGAATATACAAATGAAAAAATAAACCAGCAGTATTATTAATGCCACATTGTTGTTTATTTATTTATTACTGATTTATTATCTTTTTGAACGTTATGATGTAAATAAATAGTATGTCAATATGCAATAAGTTGTTTTTAAATTCTTTGAGCTTTGTCTATCAAAATATTCATGTTAATAATAAAACACTTGAAGGAGTTCCAACTTTCAATTGATTTCAACTGATTTTTGCCTGTCTTTCTGATATTAAATAGACAGAATGTAAAATATTATAGTTTTTGAACTAAATCGCAGGTTCTCGGTGAAGCAGTTAAAGACGATAGCCGCCTACTGATATTTTACAAATGATAATAATTTCAGATCAGCTATTTTGTATACCGTATCACCATGGCCCAAGAAATACCTGAAGCACTCAGGGCAAAAATAAATAGAAAAATAATGCACTATATACTCTATTCTGTAGGATCGAGATTATTAAAGCGTTTTGCTTTTTGCTTCCAAAGTAGCCAATTCTTTGTACCTATGATTTCGCTACAAAGGAATATTTGCCTAGAAACTTCAGCATATGAAGCGTACATATTGCCGTTTATTAGTCGACATATCCGTGCGTCTTAATCCTTATTTCACACTATTCGTTCGCTACAATTGGACAAGAGATATGGTTTTTTAAAATTGAAAGTTAGGTGCAATGCCAAACAATATTCTGCTAAAATATGGTAAAACTAATTATTAAGTTTAAATTCGTAACAAAAGAAGCATTAAACCAAGTTTTACCCACTGTGACTGCTTATTGGACACGAAATGTACATATGGATCATTGGTACATTGATAATACGTTGTTGTTGATCATTCATTCATTAATCATTCTGTCAGTATTCTTTTTTTCCTTCTTGTAAAAAAAATAGATTTTTAGTTCGACTACTATATCAATGGCTATTTCTAGTGATTAAAGATTGTTGATTGTTGTAGTCGCTAAATAACTTTTATTTATTCCTAAATGTACTATGAGATCTGATATTTCATCCCAAATTTCGATGTAATATCTTTGTTCATGGGAACACGGGTTTTAATTCGCCAATCGTGACGGCTGTCTTGCGTTTTGATTTTTCAAAACCTTGCTATGCAAAACTCGAAAATTTTTTTTGATACCGTTGGCACACGCGCTGTAGGTTGCGAGTCGAATCATTTAGCATTTTAATTCACGTTGGCACAAGACGCGTGAATCATCATTCTCACCTGTTAAATCTGAGGCAGTCTGGGTACTGGTACTAGTAGTAAATGGTCCGCAGTTTTAGATTCGTTCAGAATGAGGAAATTGTGAGTAGAATATTTTGTTTTTACCTTCGTGTCCAGACATTTGAGCATTGCACTGATGTAAATTAAAACCAGTTTATTTACATTACAAGTTATCAATTGTTTGGTGATTAGTCTATTTAAAACATTAACAATTAGGTTTAACCGAGTGTCAACATGTCGGAGACGGAAAGTAAATATTGTGAATTTGATTATTAATCATTCTAACGAATCTAACTGCAGCAACAGTATTGATCAGGTTGCAATGTAACGTTTGTTTGTGTGTGACTACTTGCTAAGTACCAGTACCAGAATCGTGTTTAAATTCACGCATTGAGCCTTGGATAAATACTATAATCTAGTTTGCTTAAATCTATTACTAAAACTAATTTCACTGAGTGCTGAAATCAAACGATAAACTTGAACAAGAGAGGTTTGGGTAACAATTTACAGTTGCCTCATTTGTCTACTCTAGACTCTGGCGTTTTTCGTTTAGATTTTGATTTGATATTCACTGTCTATCACCTTTCAATACTTCCTACTTGTAAAATTGACTGTAATTTATGGATGAAATACAGTCTAAGGAACAGAAATGTAGAATAACACTTTGCTCATTATAATGATATTGTTTTTCTACGTTAGTGTATTTAGAAACTATAAATTCCAGTTAGCATGGCATCTAATGAGTCGGTCAACTTCACACCAAGCCAAATATTGATTAACAGAAATCTTCACACAGAAAAGTCGTTTCAAGAAAAATACAGCTATATCGAACCTAAAGAATTATGCTTAAAGGAAAAAATATCAAAACTTGTGCGACCAAAAGAAAACAACCTCGTGGAGGCGATCAAAAAATTTATTCTTAGTGTTGTACCAATTTTATACTGGTTACCTCGATACAAATTCAAAAAATGGTTTCTTGCAGATTTCGTCAGCGGACTAACTGTAGGAATAATGCACATCCCTCAAGGTATGTTTATTTTTTCAGAATAGTTACGGATCAAGTCCATGTCAGATTTAAAAATAATTCACGCAAGATCGTACCCGAGCTGTGTAAAGAACCTCCCACAAGGGGGGCACATTACCATTGACTCCAATTCATGAATAGCCAATGATAGGGACATATGTATTAGTGCCTTCCAGTTTTTGCCTATTTTTGGATATCACTCAATTTAGTAGTATTGATTCAAATGTTTCACAGGCATGTCGTACGCTCTTCTGGCCGGGCAACATCCGGTTTATGGACTTTACAACTCATTCTTTCCTGTCATTCTGTACAGTTTGTTGGGGACATCAAGACACACTTCTATGGGTAAGTGTACTTTGGGACGTTTTGTTCTTACTCTGAATAATAAAAGGTTTTAGTCTGACCAGTGAAATCTATTACAAAAATCAATATGAAATGCTTTAGTCTTCGATCTCCATTGTTATCTTCATTCAACTTTCACGTACACCAACCCGTCAAATATAAGAACAGTTGTCAAATTATTGTATGCGTTTCATATATTTTATATCACATGTTTCATTATTAATAGTTAGTATTCTATTCGTGGTATAGACATGTGGACATGTTTCTAATTATTCTAGGAACGTTTGCTCTGACTAGTTTGATGCTGGGTAATGCCATGGCATCACTGGCTCCTGATCCGGTGTTTGACTTAGCAACGGGGAAGACAGCGGATGGACTAAATGAAGAAACAGCGTGGAATGCAATTTACGATAGAAGAATAATACTTGGATCAGCAGTGATGTTTATATCAGGAATTTTTTTAGTGAGTTGATTCAGAATATTTTGAATTTTTCGACGTTGAAAGTTGGTAGTTTAAAAATGGGTTATCATAAATTTTTTTTTGATGGATTTAATCTACGGTGAATATTTTTTTTTTCAGAATTTTTGACGCTTAGCCTACTGTTCACACAGATTTGTCTTAGTTTTCTATCTTAATGTGGTGTGGCTATCCTAAAGTGGCTACGACAGTCAATTAATTGTCGATTAATTCAATAAACACTATTATTTTTTTCAGTTTGGATTGAGTATTCTCCGTGTTGGATTCGTCGTGGTTTATTTATCAGACCCCATGATTTCTGGATTTACGTTTGGTGCTGCGGTACAAATTCTGGTATCACAATTCAAGAGTTTGGTCGGAGTAAGCATAGGAAGTTATGCGGGACCATTGAATCTTATTTGGGTAAGAAAGTAGAGAAATAAGAAATTAAACTATTAGGAATTTTTGAGGCCTGATGATATCGCGATTGTCGATATAAAAAGTATCTTGAAAATTACTCAAAAGTTTAAAATCTTTGATATGACATCAATAATGACACCTACATCAAACGTCGTATCTGGATTTTTGATTGAAAAAAATTCGATACTGGCTTTTTACTACGAGCTGTCTGACACTGCCACATTTGTTCCGTACACTGGAAATTAAATCATTTGGCGTTGGAAATCTCGACTATGATACTCGATTTCAAGAACATCGAATTTTAATTCTGAATCTCAGATAAAATTTTCAGCTTCGTCGCAATATTTAATTTATTCGACTCCACCTATGCAAGTTCCTATGCGTGCATAACTAAAAAATACACTATTTTGTCATTTCAGATGCTACGGGACTTGATTCTTGCATTGATCAATTTAGACGAAGCTGGTAGAACCAAGACTTCCGCCACCGTTGTGATTTCTGTTATTTGCATTATATTTCTGGTGATTTTAAAAGAATTAAATGTAAAATACAAAGAAAAAATACCACTCGGACTTCCTTTACCGGGGGAGATTGTTGTGGTGAGATATTTATTTTTGAAAGTCACCAATTATTAATTTCTCTCTCTTCTTTTTCGGGAAAAGTAATTAATTAAAAAATATTTATTTTGAGCAGGTTATTGTTGGGACAGGGATCTCGTACGGTGTCAACCTCGCAGAGAAATATGGAGTTAGCATCATTGGAAATATTCCGAGCGGGTGAGACTTTTCGCAGCAATGAAAATTAGCATACTACTCATACGAACCAATCTATCTGAATTACCTGAAAATATTATAATCTTAAAGTGATCTTGAGTCGTGAACGTCCCCACGATGTGCGACATCATTAACAAAAACTCGATTATGAATTTAAACCTTTTCAAATATCATGATACATATATTGGTAAAATTGGTTTGTAGATAGTAAGTAATTTTTTACTGATTCCCACAGAATACCAGCACCAGTGTTGCCGGCTTTTAATGAATTGTCATCTCTTATTGGATACGCAATACCGATAGCAGTGGTTGGTTATTCGGTATCGGTATCCATTGCAAAAATATTCGGAAGTAAATTTGGATATGAGATACGTCCAAATCAAGAACTTGTTGCGTACGGAGTCAGTAACACAGTGTGTTCGTTCTTCTCCTGCTTTCCAGCATTTCCGTCCATGTCAAGAAGTTGTGTACAGGTAAAATATGTACAGATATTTCCTTCATTTACCTCAAAATATCCTATAGTAATATGAGAATGCTATTATATCAGTTATCATTTTGTTCCTCACTAAAAAACAGCCCTGTATGAAATATATTTACAGTTTCATGATTGAACAAAACTATCTTTTTGACCAGTTCGGCTCAGCTTATCTAGAATATCGTACCAGGGTATATTACAATCCGACTGCACAAATATAAGTCTATATCTTTTTGAGCATGAGAATGTTTAAGCACTTCTCTCGTTTTTATTTCAGGTTGAAAGCGGGGGGAAAACTCAAGTTGTTGGTCTCATTGCTGCCGCTATCATTCTACTTGTGCTACTTGTTATTGGTCCTCTTTTCAGCAGTATACCAAAAGTAAGATATGCTTGTGCTTCACTTACATTCATACGTGCTTTGTGCCATCGTTCACCCAACAAAGAGCTCCTCGGGGCTGGGTATATTCGTGGACTATCATAAAATATTCATATTTACCAACATTGCAAAAACGATGCAAAAAATCTAGATGGATTATGCAGTATATGAGTCTTACTTCAAAATTTGCATCAACTAAAATATCAAAAAAATAATGAAACGTACAAAATAACCAGGGTCTTGAAACAGATAGTTTAGCCACTGAGAAGACCTGTTACATATTTTAACTCACCCACGACATCTTGCCGTTTAGTCAATTATTGAACGGCCTATGATTTAAATGAAAGGAATATTCGAATTTGGTAGTAAGACACCGTCTTCTAGAGCCCGGGGATCTATATTCGATTTGCCTACGTCTTGCAGCTAAAAGTTAAGAATGTAAAATCTAGCCTCTGTGTCAGTCTGTTTGTTATTCTCCCCTGTTCAGACTTACTACTGTCTCAGTCAATTTTACATACTTGATGCTGTTTCAATTTTTATGTAGGTAAAATAAAACTTAAAATCTCAATAAACCTTCATTCTATTTTCAAGGCTTGCCTTGCTTCCATTATTTGCGTTGCTATGAAAGGAATGTTGAAAAGAGCATTAGCTTTGAAGGACTTATGGAAGGTTTCAAAATTAGATTTTGCTACGTGGATGGTTGCTGCTATCAGTACAATTTTCTTGGACGTGGTAAGAATTGTTAAATTTATATCCGTGTCTGCCTATTTAAAGAATCATTTGTCGACTCAATCTAGAATTCTGTATGAGAGGCGTCTACTTATGAAATGTTATATATACAATTCATTATGAAATAATGAACGTCTCCGTATAAATATTGAATATTCATAAAAACAATAATTGGTAAAACGACACATGAATGCATTCAGTATCAGAACAACTCAAGCTAATAAATTAATAACATTAATTAAACATACAGACACACGGACAGGACGACTGAACATATTGAATATACAGACACACGGACAGGACGACTGAACATATTGAATATTCATAAAAACAATAATTGGTAAAACGACACATGAATGTATTCAGTATCAGAACAACTCAAGCTAATAAATTAATAACATTAATTAAACATACAGACACACGGACAGGACGACTGAACATTTGTTTTCAGGTATATGGTTTGTGTGTTGGAGTCGGATTCACTTTGTTGTGCATCATATTCCGAACACAACTTGTTGATAAAGAAGCTTTGGAACGAGTCGGAGAAACTGAATTTTACAGAAAGGCTGAGCAATATACAGAGGTACAGTATTACCTGAATTTATTTGATTTCAATTCTGATTTTATCGTTAGACTTTTTACTTCTAGATATAATTGAGAATAAAAGCAGATAGAAAAAAAAAAAGGATGAAACCGCATACCGCACTTTTATTTATTTTAAGACAATTTGTCATTTCAATTCATACAATTTGATATATTCGTATGCAGTATACTTTTGATCTTTCGTTGACCAAAAGCTCCAATTGATGAGTTTGCCCATATGAAAGGATTCTAAATAGGCATTTAGAACTGGTGCTTCTGGACCTTTTTCGGTTGTTTAGGCATGATTACTAAATTTCTCACGTCTTGGCAATCATCACTTGCTTTTCGCATATTGATTTTTACTATTCATACCATCTTATTATCATATCTAACAGATGAGTCTTCATAGCGGAATGTGTGTAGGATCATTTCGAGGTCCTTTGCATTACCTCAACAAGGAAGCATTTCGTAAAATGGTAACAAAAGTCACAAAGATAGATCCGGTTATGAAATTAGCAAAAATGAAGAAAGCTGAAAAGAAGTTGAAAAAGATAGTAAAGGCCGATGAAAGTAATTCAGGAAGAAAGGTATAATATAATGCATTTGTTACCAGATGCGGGTGTCTAAGGTAATTACGGTGTTAGATTCTGAAGTCTATGCTATCTGAGCTGTGTAGCCTATATGCTTTTGTATTTGAATTATATTTTATTATGGACCTGTGTATGTTGCATTTGAGTTGCCATTCGTTGCCTACTTCCTTGATGTGTTTGCGGTTTTCTCCATAACTTTTGCTGTCTGAGTCAGGGTAGATAGAAAATCCATACGTTTCCCACTATAGCCTCCGAGACATTCAATGATGGTTCCAGTTTCGGCTTCCGATACGCCGTTCAAAATTTTAACTCAGACACCCGACTAAAGGTTCTGTTGAAACATTGCGACGCAAGTTCCTGATTTCGATAAGACAAAATTTTGTCAACGAAAAGTTTGGCCCATGCAAGCCTTTTTGATGCTGTTAATAATTTGGGTAAAATTTATCAGAGTTTAGATTTTTACGACTATGACTTTCAAAACTATGACAAAAGAACTTCGATCCTGAATTCCGTGGCGTTCAAAATTCAGACATTAAGGAAGACTGAAACTACAACTCTAATACCATCCAAAATTCAAAACACCAGCTCACGCTTGTCAAAATTTGAAAACTTTTTGTTACAGGAGAACGTCAATATTGTATCAACGGAAGGCGTTGTGAATACAGCATTCACGCAAATCGGTACGTTTGTAATATTGATTTGAGTTTGTACAATAAACTATTTGTCTTTCATACTATAATTTGTGTAATATCAGATCTATGCATGACGGTGATGATAAAGATATTTTATCAAAATGAGAAAATAATACAAATTTAGCTGTTATTTTACTATTATGCGGTTTCGCAAATACAAGAAATCAACAAGTCTTATACATTTTTAAATTTCCGACTTTCAGAATTAAGTGGAGACCTTGATCAGAACAAAAATTCAACTGAAGTCAAAAACAAATCGATATCACAAAATGAAGAGAAAGCACGAGAAAATAATTTAAAATACTTTATTTTGGATTGTTCTCAAATTTCATTTATAGATTCAGTTGGTGCTAAAGTTCTAATGTCGGTGCGTATATTTATTATTATTGAACCTCTGAATATTTTGTATTATCAAGTACATGAAATAAGTAATTATTATGTTTCACGACAGAGTTTTGTTGTCGCATAATAACAGATGACATTTATCGCGATATGCTGCATCGTTTTCAAATCTGCGTTTAATCTTTGAATTCCTATTCTAACGAAGATGGCAATGAAACTATTTATTGGTTTATTCACTATCATTTAGTCCAGATAAATCAATTAAGTATCCTTTGTATATTTGTCAACGTATTTCTATTTGTAGTATATTTACATGGTATTTATGTCGCTCACAGGTAACTGACGATTATAAGAAAATTGGAGTGACAACTTATCTGTCGAATTGCTCTCGTAAGTCAATTTAATTTAGATATTGGGCACGAAATGGGGTCGTTATAGAAAGCTCTTTATTTTTATTTTTCAAATTTTATCTAGGACCCGGGATTTCTCTCAAAATTGCCCTTTCATTTTGACTCATGATGACACTTTCATATTACAAATGAGAATACTTATATATAAAATTTGATATTTGTGTTCATATTTTTGAACATTTCTCGTTTGTTATACTTATGCTAAATTTTGATTTTATTTAAATTTCTGTTCATGTTTCAGAATACAAGAGTCATTTGTTCTGAAATATTTCTAAAACGAGCTAAATCCCATTGTATATTATTCGTGAAAAAAAGTTTTTAATAGTTGTGATGTATTGCTTCAATTTTACACAATGTGAGCCGAGAGAAATTCCTAAAATATTTATTTGTTACAGCTGAGATTCTACGAGTGTTGACATTATCTGGATATTTTTCAAAATTTGGTGACGACGTTGCATTTGTATCTATACATGATGCAATCATTTATGCTGCTCAAGAAATAGAGCAAACACCTTTGTCAAACGAGGTATTTTTGTGATTTTATCATTTATATATAGCGGTGAGTTGAAAAGCATAAAAACGTCCTTTTTGTTTTAACGTTTTTCCTCTTCATTATTATATTTCTCGTTGCTTACTGACTTACTCTACTTATATATCTTTTGACACATCGTCACAGAATATTAGTATCCACTCAATCAGTCCAGTCGGAGTTCGCTCTCAGTCTTTCATAGTCTATGTCTATGGTTCCCAACCTTTTGTGGCCCCTTTTCGGAGGCTTTTGATACTGGTAGCCTCGCCATTCCAAAAATACGAGCAATGCACGCATTGCTCACAATTGGCAGTCTTGGTTTATTTTATTAAAGTCCAAAATTCGCGGGAAACATAAGTAACATTGCTCACATTTGGCAGTTTCGGTTTATTTTCTTAAGGTCAAAAGCGACGTAATTATCTCGCTGTCTTGTAAAACTATTGTTAGACCAGATTCGACCGTCATCTGCAGGTGAGGTGGGCTGGCATCCAACTACAGTGATTAGAATTCGCGGAAAACATAAGTAGTTATATTCATATTTGGATCGATAGATTTCAAATCCCATTATGATCAAACAATTCATGCAATGGAAAGTGAATATTCCTTTTGAATTAATTTGAAATAACCTTTTTAAGTAATGGAACCACGAAGAATCGATTTGGCGACTGATATTAAGGCCCACCTCAAACTGCTCTGTAGCCCGATCTCATTTCAACAAACAGTTTCTAGAACCTTTTGCTGTGTACGCATAATTTAATATCTAAAGTTACTAGAAAATATTGACACGTAAATGATCATTCTATTTTTGTGAGAAAATTTTATTTACTTTGGAGTGAGTTTTTGCAACCGGACCTGGCTTTTACTAAATATTGAATGAAAAAAAATTATTATCTCTTCTTTTATTTTTATCAGGTTTCGTTATCAAGTCAAGATATAACACAACTGTGAGTTTTTCAACTTCAATCAAAAATGTACGTATTTTGAAGATATTCAATCTACAATACACTGTAAATGTGTAAAGAATATTAATAACGAAGCAATATATATACCTGAGTTTCGTGCGTTTTTGTTCCGAATGAGATGTCAACGATAATATCGACGCTGAAAACAGAAAAATGCTTAACTATGTTCAAGTGTGTCTTTCATTCTTCTTATTTCTCATTTTTTGTCTTTTGTTAGAAATCGTTATTACCTAACAGTATGATGTATTTATTTATGTTACATTTCGTCTGCACTTCTGGTATTGTTATAATACATAATATGCTTCAATATATTCTATCAATATGTTACTATTTGTATGATTCTTTATCTTTTAATTCAAATTATCGTTTGAGTTGTTTAAGTCTCGTTTCATAAAGTTTGGTTATTATTGTCTTTTCAAAAATGACATGATATGCACTAAAATATAATTAAGTAGTCGTACTTCATTCATTTCGTCTTATACCGTGTTTCCCCGAAAATAAGACCTACCCGGAAAATAAGACCTAGCCCGAATTTTAAAAATGATTTCAATATAAGCCCTCCCCTTAAAATAAGACCTAGTCAATCGAGCGAACTTTTGTTTTTACCTAGTCGATAACAAGAAATCTCTCCTACACGTTTTAAATAATTGATAATCCATGTTTTGCAGTTATTTCGACTAAAAACGTGTCATGGGTATCGCTTTTCATATTTTGTATGTTTGAAAATCTCGTAATTCTCTACTTTCTAATTTTGTTTCTGATAAATAAAAATATAAGACTTCCCCCGAAAATAAGTTCTAGTTGTTGTTTTTAGGAAGAAAATTGACACGGTAGTAATGAAATGATTCTTCTAAATTTAAAATATTCTATAACAAATGCCGAATTCTCAATTCTTAATGTTATAAGTATTCATGGATTAAGTGATGGTACGATTTGTTTTGTAAAATCTCACTAGTTTCCACAAATACCAGCCTGTCGGTATATAAAAGACAACTAGTTCACGTTGCAGATGCATGGACTCGCATGATTATCTGGGCGGGATTGCAACATGCCACACTCGTGCGTTTTTAGTGGTGTGATCATAAGCTTGTATTTCATCAGGTCGAGCAAACTGTAGATGTAATTACTCTAATCTAGATTTCCTGCCCAACAATCAATGCAAAAAATATTAAACAAAACGAAATTCAAGTGTTTCAATGAATTTTCTGTGTGTGAAAGTTGAAGACGTAGATTGAAAATTATAAATATAAAAAGTAAAAAGTTAAAGCCTGGTTCTAAACTACAAATTGAAAAAAATACATGATGTGACCTTAAAGTAAAGCACCAATTATGACATATAATAAACTAAAATTTGACAATATTCAACTCAAATTGATTAGCTGTGGCGATAGGTTTGATAGGTTATTGATGAAGCAACGAAATCCACTACGAAATAATTTGTGGAATAGAAGCGAACATCGGGTTTTTAAAGTAATTGACACGTCTTAGTATACAAATTGTGTAAATTATGCAACGAGCATCGTTGAAATGCCATTTAAATTTCGTCAATCGTCACTAATGAAAAATGTCGATAACTCTTAGATAATAAAACGCTACCAAATACCAGTGAATACAAACAACACATAAGGCATGTAATTCCAATGGCAAGAAAGCAAAAATTATTAACTATTTTAAAAGGTAAAGAAAGAAAAAATGGAAACAATATTTTATCTAAAATTAACAATGATACTATAAACATTGTGGAAAATGGGCTGTATACAACTGTGACTACATCATATTAGCACATGACTGTAGCACAGTTTTATGGAAAACGAGTTTACATTTTCAGTTTATCAACGTGTAATTTTTTTACACAGTACGATCTGCTTAAATTAATGACATGACCACAGTGGTTGGACAAAATAGTCTGAATTAGTTTTCACCACAGTCGTCGAAAGATGGTAAATTTACATGGGATGTGTATATATTTAGGACAAAACATTGAAAAAATCTTTTAGAAAGAGTGTTATACTATAATGGTACAAAAACCGACTTTGTGACTAAGGTTCATAATGAAAACATAAAAACTATGCAACCCGGATGTGTTTTATTACAATAATACATCGTAAGATGTCGAATACATCGTTCCTTTGTTTCTGGCAACGTCTAATTATGGCCAGACGAATACAGTCCATTTACCAACACAAACTTCATAAATACTTCATGAAGTTTTTTTGTCGTGCCATTATGCATGGGAGTCATTATACTGAACGGTTACGACAGCCTTTTTGTCTGCACTTCGATCCATGCCACTGGCACCTTCTCCATTCGCGGCGGTGCCGGCTTCATCTGGATCCACGTCAGAAGTGATTTCATATTTGCCGCGTTTTTTCAGTCTTGCCCGCACAATGATGATAATGACAGCAATTATGCTGAGTAGAATTAAGATTGATATGATACAAACGATCAGAACTACAGTGGTAAATTCTGCTTTTTGTGGTCTTTGAGCTCTAAAATCAGTGATTTCATCGTGTTGTTCTTGATCTGATGTCGAAGCATCAGGCAACATTTCTTTGGTTGTAAGTTCTACCGGCATTGATGGTTCTGTACGAGAAGGGTCATTTTTATTGCGATTATCGTCCTTTCTTTCAGTAGGTTTAGCTGTTATCTTTTCATTTGAGTCTATTGGTGGTAACACAACAGCTGATTTCGTTAGTTTGGAAATTAATTGTTGTTCTGTGGTCGATCCTCTTTTTGTAGGCTGTTGAGTCACTGTAATGTCTTTCTCACCCGATTTAGTTGATGCACTAGAATCGTCACCTTTGACTTCTGTTACCGGCAGCACTCCCGGAGTGTTCATTTCACCGCGTGTTTCGTTCGTGATCGTTTCAGTGGTAGTGCTATATTCCGGCTTTGGTTGCGGGTTAGTGCGTAATAACTTAGTTGTTGTCTGCTGGGGTTTTGTGGACGTTGTTATTTGATCCGTCGTGGACGTGATTTTCTCTGGCTTGTCACCCTTATCCATTGCCATAGTACTTGTCTGTGTGGTAGAATCAGACATTTTTGAAATATCAACACTGGTATTATCATCCTTTATTTCTTTCGTGCTTGTGGTGATGGAAACGTGACTCAAACCTTTGCGTGTGGTGGATTCCACATCGGCAGGAATTACATCCATATTTATGTCGGTATTGCCAGATATTTTATAGGTTGTGGTGGATGTTTCGGTATTTAGAATATCTGTATCTTTGGTTACAACAAATTTGTTGGTTGTGGTAGTTGGTATAACGCTATTCTCCAACTTCTCTGTATTAAAACCCTCATCGATATTCGGTTGCGTTGCAATATCAAATTCATCAGGCTCTATTTTATCAGGAGCCGTCATTGGAGATTGAGTTTGTGTTTTCGAAGTAGTCGTGGGCGTCGTGGTTTTTACAATATTAGTGAATACATTCATTTCTGGTGTAGTTGTCAATCTACTCGATGTTGTCGTCGTCATTTCGGATTCGGAAACATCGCCGACAATAACTTTTTCCGTTGGCTGACTTGCAGCTGAAGTTGTCGAATATGTGGGAACATTTTCACCCTCTGCAATATCTGTCTTTTCAGAAGTGTCACCTTGCTCTGCTTTATCGTCCCCGGCTTCTGTTGGTATGCTAGGATGCACCTCTTCTTCATCAACGCTATCTGTCGATTCCTCTGTTTTATTTTTCATTGTGGATTCTTTTTTCTCTGTGTCTAATTTCACTCCCGAGTCTAGTTCAGTTGTGTCAACGCTGATCGCTACTGTTGTAGCATCGTTTTTTATTTCATTCGTTAGTTCATCGTCTTTGTCATCCGAAATGGTAGGTTCCTCTTCTTCTCCGTATTCTTCCTCCTCCACTGTTGGATTCTCCTCTTCCTCATCATAATAATAATAGTAGTCATTCTTTGACGGACCGAATATGTCATAGTCCTGCAACTTATCCCACACCATGCGGTCATCCACTCCATAGTCTTCTTCTTTGTCATTCTCCTTGATGCTCAAAGGTGTGACTTCTTGATCAAAGTCATTGTTTTGGGGAAAGTCACTGCCAATTCCTGGCAACGATTTATCACCAAATTGTTTATTGGATGAATCAAAAGTTACAAATCCAGTTTCGCCTGAATAAGTGTCTGTTTCCTCGTCATCAAAAGGAACATTTGATCGATAATCCAATTCTGTTTCTTTGAATCTGATGTCTGCAAATACATGAACAAAATAAATAAACGATCGATTTTGATTGAAAAGTCGTTTTTGCAGTAGTGATATATATAGCTTTCACCACTTTCATTACAGATTTTGTTTTTAACTCGTTTGGGCGTTTCTCTGGCAGTATTTCGAAATTTTAAATTTAATAATCCTAACTTTCACTTTCAAGGGTCGTATTTCACAACACCGGTCAAATTGTACAAAGAAGAAAAGTTTGACATAGTCAAGCCAATTGCTTTCACAAAGCCAAGTTTTCGATTTTCACTAAACTAACAAGTTTAACCTCATATATCTTATCTGTAATATTAGTATATTTAAACAAACAACACCAGTAGTGAAAACAAATACAGAACGTCGGACCGCCTTATTTGTACAATTCCAGAGAAAGAAATGCGATAGTTGCAAATGAGGCCATGTTCTATTACGTTTTTTAATTTAATTTAGACTTGAAAATGAAAGCTTTATATACGCATAACACAGCGAAGAAATGATATATGATTCAGCATAGAAATTTAATATAGTTTGACGTAATTCACTATGGGAAATGACTTGCAAATTAAAAATTTATTGGCATGTTGGTCTTCAACTGTCCTGCCCTTTTTTACTATTAATTTGAAAGAAAACGAATGACCATCAGTCGGTCCTGTGCGAAAGATCACTTTTGCTACTCCATAGGGATGCATTTAAAAACGTTGACATCGCAAATTCCGATACGTGTTTTCCTACATAATATTAAAAATTGAACTCCGACGATGAAACTCAATAGCCACGCTATCAGTAACCCGAACGAAGGAACAGAACGTAATCCCCCAAGGAGACTGCTGGCATGGAATAATGCTACTTAACGCCGGCACACTCTGATAGTTGGTTGTCCTTGTAGTTATAGAGAATTGTAGAACAAACACTAAATGCGTTCAAAGCCATAAATAAGATTGTAATATGAAAGAATTGTTTACAAAACAGGTGCATAACACGAGATTCATCTCATTAATGTAAAATTAGACAGGCCCCAGGGATATTCAGAAGTTTTGTAACCTAGATTATCAAATAATAATATGCGAGTAAGCTTTTGTAAGCCCAGATCATCAAACATTATTTCCTATTATTGTGAATTCTAAATCCGAGAGTTTCATGACACTTTACTTTATGTTATAACAAATACGGAAAATAAATACATTCTGCTATTCCGAAAACATATTAGTTTGAACTATAACTGCAGAACTAAGGCGAAGCAATATCAGAAGAAATTTTCCATTGATACTGATACAATTGTCATAACGTATAAAATCTGTTTTAAATAACACATATAAATGTACAGGAGCATGGATGTATATAATGGGGGCGATGGCCCACTACAATTTTAACTAAATTGGTATTAAGACCTCACATTTTTCACTTTGCATCTACAAAAATATTATTGTTTTTAGATTGGTTTAAATGTATTATTGATTTTTCTTCTGCAATGCAAGATTCCACTTTGGACATACTGTATATAGCCATGCATCTGCACTTTTGATTTTACTACGAATAGTTATAATAAACCTTTTCATCGTTAGATAATACATAATGTTGTACCAAAATATTTGAAGTAGTAATTCAATACTTTATAATATATATAGGATTTAGACTTCCTTATTTAAATTGAATAATATGAGCTCTCAATCCAAGAATAGTACTTCCTTGTTGCTACATTAGTCGTAATGAGCCACAGGAGTCGCAAGTCTTGTTTTTAGGTCATTCGCTAAAATGTTGAAATTTCTATGCTACTGCCATGTTGTGGTAACGTCGTTTGGTTTTTATATTATAATTGGGTTTTTATTCATTTCCGTGTACCTCATTTCAGGACTGAACACAGTTCTGGTATTTCGATTTATAACGTAATTGGCCTGGACAATGATGACTCTCAATCTGTCGATGTTCATATTATATATTTTGAAGAAGAATCGAAAAATCCAATAAAATTATTCAAATTTTAATAAGTGAAATTCATTAAAATCTTTAATACGAACGTGTGAGGAAACGGGGGCGGTTTGTGCCATTACGTTTATGTCAAAATAAAGATAAGTATGAATAGATCAAAGCAGAGCTAGAAGTGTAATAATAATTTTAATAAGTTATTTACCTTTTCTGGCGAATGTGGTAGAAATCCCCAGTAATATGACGAAGACAAATCTTATCATCTTTTTGTCGAATTGCATACTTTGAAACAACCGTTTTCATAAAATAAACACTCTCTCTCAAACACTCAACTTTTACGTGAATATGAATAAATTCTAAAGAAAAACAATTGCGTTAGGAGAAAGAGTTACGGTTCAGCTACTTACTATTTAATTAGACATTACTGTTACTTTTCTGCACTGAACAATACAGCTTCGTTTATCCGTCAACGGTAATTACTAAACATCCGGGGTCTAATCTTAATGAGTGCTGTTCAGTCCATTCAAAATTAATTAACATTGAGATCGTGAGGCTGTCCATTTAATGTTTCATAAAGCTGCGAGTAATCGTACGATTGACACAGTATCAACGCGAGTGCTTGCCAAGGCTAAACCCCGTGGTAATGCCAACACAAGGAGGAACAGCAGCTGCCGTTTAATTCAGAACTGTTGAACAGGGTTATATTGTTCTCTCGTATACGATAGCGTGTATCCTTGTAATGCTTATATTCATTAGGGAATTCTGTATAATTCATACAAACTATCTAGCTATTCCAGACCAAATGACGAGGCATAATGAATTCGGGATTCCTTCAAAGTAAAACCTAGCTACGGAATTTTCTAACAGAGTTCTGAATATAAGCTTTATCTACTGATCACGCCAAGCGCCAGGTCCGGACTGAAATCAAAATTGTTCGCTGTATATAAAGTATATCTTTACTGAATGGGGTAACAACGCGCAACACGGGAGTCATGAATAATCACCAGCGTTCCAGACATGTCTGAAAATTACGACAAGGAACTGTATTCTCCTATCATAGTTTACACTGCATTATAATATATTATCATGTTGATATTAAACTATATTTTCAATAAAAAACAGGCTGCGTTCATGAGACAGACAGACGACGGTCGAGGTCTTTGATTCTAAGTAGATATTGCTGGCGCTGGGAAACTTCTCAGACATGACCACGGGATTCCAATATCAGGCGATATGTAACGAAACGGGAAATGATATTTCGTATGCTTGTTTAGCAGCCCTTATTTGGCGTCGAGGAATTTTTGTCAACTATACGTATAAGCATACAAACTTGTTTACATACAAAATGTTCCATGTATCGGTGACGTAATATTTCTCCCCGTGACTGTGTAGATAAGTGATAATTCTGAGTTGCAAGCAGAATTTATCAATGGCTTTAACAAAACTGATGTACGTTTTTGTGTAAATAATTTTTAGTTCTACATACAAATTAGTTATATTTGAAAATTCCACAAAAATAGAGATGTTTGAAAAAATAATAATATACTTATAGCATAATCACAGCACACTCATTACAGCAAATTTACATCATATCTATACCTCAGAACATTACTGATTTTGGAATAAATTCTTTTGAGCTCAAATAATTGAATATATTACCAATTTGTTATATTTGATATAGTTAAGAGGAATATGACTCCTTGCGATTGTGACCAGGTGTTCGCACCATTCGAGGCATATTTGGCGTTCAATAACTGTAAAAAAAACAGTCAAAATAGTCTATTTATTATATTCTGCCTTATAAATATCATTTCCCGTGCATATGTCGAACTTTTTCTGTTACACATTATCAAATTAGAATATACGAGGAAATATTTTAAATTTTTTCTGAATAATAAACTACTCAGACATAGCCATGTTACAGCGCAGATACAATTTGAAATTGTTATTGGATGGTAAATTCATTATCATCCGGAATGAAAGTAGAGTTGGAAATCAAATAAAAACATCCCCTTCCGTTAAACATCAAAGTTAGGCTATATTTGTCGAACAAATTAACACATGCTTGTAAAAACCTCCGAACTTAATAAAAAAAGATTAAAGGAACGTAGAAAGGTATCGTTTATATTTCGCACGGCTCGTTTTATTGCAAGGCGATAAAAACACTGGTATTGAAATAAGTTGTCTGTTTGTTTTTCACGGAACGTATTCCTATACCAGTCTGATGTAATGCAATATTCGGCATGTAAAACAGAGCCTAACATGATTTAGCTATGCGAAATGATATGGGAGGACTGGGAATATGCACGCGTTTGAAATACCAAATAAAGGAGGGCATTGATAATTTTCGAATTCTTATCTTAATTTCTAACAGGTGGCCGATTTTGGTTTTTTATTTGATTCATTTATTTAACAAACGACTCGATTTCAAACCAAAAAGTTTGATTGTTTAACGTGTCGAATATTGAGGTGGCCAGCTGGAATTATAGATCACATCGCGGCTAATTTCTCTTTGCTTTCAAAAAATTACTATGCTTTCCTGAGTGCATTCTCAAACCCTCGATAAAATGAAAGGTATATTGTATCTTCAAGATCAGTAAACATTTTTTGTTTGTTCAGCACGTTCTAACAGGCGGCCAATTTAAAATGAAGAAAACCAGCGTCAAGGAAGTTTCAACTTGCACAAACAACGTTAATTTTACTTCAAATTCATATACCGTTACTACTTACAATTCATTTCGACTTGATGGAATTTTAGAAAGTTAGACAAAAAATTGAATTGACATGTTTGTACTTGCAACTGCCAATCGATCAATAGTTGAGTTTGGGTTATCTCGAAAATATAATTTTGAGTTTTGATAAAATTCCTCATCATACAGAACTACATGAATTGTCCCGCCCTGGCCTGCAATTCTTCAAGAATTAGGCTCAACCGTTGTACTAAACTACTAACCACAATTGCAACGAAATTCAAAAAAGAATTATTTGTCAGGCAGATTTCTATAACATCTGATTAAAATCTTCACAGAGTTGGTCATGTTATATCGCTATCAAAAGCTTATCGGACAACCGGCACTAAATTTCACTATCACCGATTTATTCATCGATTTCCTTGATAGAATGGTTTTGTGTGATTCTCCGCAGAACATTTTCTAAACTAACATAACTAGGGTTTTTCGTCCGTAAGATCCAGCAACACACACAAAATGATAGTACATTACGCAACAATCATATCTCTTATAACTATAACGTATTCAAACAGATGCACAATCGTAACTGACAGATCATTTATAAAGCATTCTAGTTATAATAGCGCGTACGATTACATTAATTCAATAACTTTCAATCGTAACTGATATTAACCTAAATCGTAATGTCCATGTTATATTTAGTTATTGTTCTGATGACGTGACCCTGTTTTGCGCTGAAGTTCAAAGAGCGACCGTGTGGCGATTTACAATAAGTCTAAGATCTTAACACCTTCGCCACGCGTTGCACGCATAGTTTATTGTTCCTGTATGACACCACTCTTTTGTCAATTATAACAGCTCCAGTCAAGAGCGGAATTCAATATCGGAGAATGATTTACACGTTGAAAATGATATATGCAATAAGATGCCCTTTGCAAGTTAGAGCTGGCTAAAATCAAATATCTAATAAAAAATCCTGAAAATCAATGTAAATACTCGAACAAAATATCGAATAAAATATTCAAATGGCTTAATCTTACATTCCAAGGAAGAACTATTTAGTAAAATTACAAGCTTTTGTGATTTATAAACTGATAATTATGAAATTGAAAAGGCGTTGTGATTGTAAAATACCATGAATATTCTTAGATATGTTGCTTTCATGATAAGCCTATTGACTCAAAAAATGATCAACAAATGCTTTCGAATTCGAATATTCAAAATTTTTATGACTCCTCCTGCAACCATGAGTGCCGGAAATTTGCATTATTAAATTAAAGTTATGTTCAACGCACTATTGTTTTATTTTTGAAAGTGTACGACAAATTGAAACATTTACAAATCCGTAAAACCTTGTGAAACATTGCAAGAAATCTGTTACAGTAAATCACTTCTGATGCACGACTCAAAATATGAAATCTATATATAGTGTTGGTTACCGTTTCCCCTACTAATACCTAAATACAAAAGCAAAATTTTCCTGGAAATACTATAATTCAAATATTTAGGTCAACCAATAGCGGTCTCGAATCATGTTATTCTTTGAATACCAACGCTCGCTGCAATGTTTGATAACATTGTGGTTTGACATGGATCGCGATTATTTCCATACAAAGATACGTTGGATAAAACCAATACATGTTTTGGTGTTTTCCTGTTCGTAGCTCCCTATTTTTCATATGTCCCGCTCTTTGTTTTGAATTAAATGGTCTATTAAACGTTACAGTTTAGCAGTACAAAACAAATTTTCCCAATTCGTTTATATACCGTTTAACCTCGATATAAACTCAAGACATATTCAAAAAGCAATCAGATATCAAGGTGAGTTTTTATTGCTATTACGTACTAGTCCGTCCCGTTGTTATTACACATTTTGATATGGTTTATCGCCTCCTCTAAAAGCTTCGATCTGTATTTGGCAAATTCGAAACTATTTTGTTTCTGCTGTCTGATTAAATTATAAACAACCGAATGAAAAACTCGTTTCAGTATAAATCTCAAAATAGCTTTGATAAAATTTAAATATTTATTAACACCTAAAATCCAATAAGTAAAAGCAAATAATTGATGCTACGTCAATTCTATTTTTTTCTTCTTCCCTAAGTCTACGAAATTCATGTTTGAAACGTAAAATATACAAAAAAATAAATTAAGATACACAGGGAGTATGCGCTAAGAATAATAAATTAGCATGTCCATATCGAAACAAAAATTTTCTCACTATTCTACATGGGCAGCACAATTGAAAATTCTCTCGCGGCCATAGAATTGTCTTTATGTATCGTATAGGCCTTTTGCAATCAACAGTGGCTTTTAATATGGGTGTAAAGTCGTTATATGAATCAGAAATAAAACTAATATAATTTGAAATATACTTCCGCAGTTGTGTTCAACTTTGTATAGACTCAACCTGACTCGAAACCAAAAAGTATTTTTGTTAACGCGCGCGATAAATAAATTGAATATATAGAATCGAGCTCCGAAGGAACACAACTCCAACACGAATTTATTCGAATCTCCTCGTCTACAATTCTGATTCGGTGGGCTAGCTTATCAATATTGCCTTTACTGGTAATCGTTGCCACTTTGTGATTCTATTGCGTTTTCCTCATAAAAAATGTCGATAAAAGGTATCCAATATTATCGAATCCAGTTCTTGTTCTAAATGGCAATTATTAAAGACAAATCAAATCGTTATCTGCGGTTTCGCAATTTTGAATGTATCGATTTGTGCATGTATTCTTTATCAGCTATCTTGTACGTAAATTTTCTACTGGTTCATTCAATTTGCCAATTATTGCCGTACAGTGAGTGTATGGCCATTCAAGTGGATATAAATTTACTCTTGTCCCATACATAGATATGCGATTGAAATCTGGCATGACACATTGTGCAGTGGCATTAGGGAGTGCTAGTTTTATGTTAACAGTAACTGGGTATCATTAATAAAGCGAAATGCTTTTCAAAATTTCAAACATAAAATTGGTATATAAACTTGCACATCATTCAATTTTAAAGTATTCGAAGATGCTTCAAATCTCCCGTTAATCGATATTCACTAACCCGCAATACCACACTATAAATTTGTGTGGTGTCAGTGGCTCTTGGCATTTTATTGGTCGCCCGCCCGTAGCTTCGCTCTGTGGTCAATCTCTGAATTTCTGAGTGAGTTTTCGTGACCTTGGTTCGAGCAAATATTTTTAAATAAATTATTTTGAAAAAATTAGTCAATATGAAGGATGCATTTTATAATGAAAATACGTCTTTGTTTAGTCGCACGCAGAATCTAGATATATAGAAAATTATCTTTACAACCTAGAAGTGTTCTTAATTTCCGCAACTTACGGTAAATGCGTTCGTTCCTCATATTTTTTGATAAATATTATCATACAGTTACTACGTAGCTTTTATCATGCTTGCACAAGTAGACTTTCGAAAAAATAGAAAAATTTGTGAATTAAAACACAATCAATAAAAAATTAAGTTAGTTGAGCACATTTTACTTCTGTATAACACCAGACGCATTCATCGAAACTATAATATTTTGCTCTGAATCTGCAACTGAGTGCAGATGCAACTTTGCAATACATAAATCAACTTCAGTAACCTACTGCAACCACTGAGTTAAAATATATTTTGCATTCCGTCACTACCTTGCTATTGCTAACATTTAAAAAGAGTAATCTATTTAAATCTTCATCTTGTCTAATTT